AAAATTTTGATTAGGCTTGGGATTAAGAAAAGGTTGCCGTTTTCTGAATTAAAATCTTACCATAACTTTAAACGAAACGTGAATTAACTCTTCAAATACGTTAAAACTTCATTGTAGGCAGATAATTAGTAAATGTTTTTTATATGTACACGATTTTTTTTAATTATTTTCGTCAAAAGAAATGACATAGGAATCATTTTTTAATTCGCGAAATAAAGTTTTGGCAGGTGAGGTTATGTTCATTCTAGCACTGTGGGCAGAATGCGAGAAAGGCGCTAGACTAAAAAAGTGTTTCAAATGCTCTTACACGGAAAAAATAAGTTCAGCAGATTTTACGAAACTAATTTCGCACTAGCGGATATTTAAGATTCCTTGACGAAGTTTCTCAAAAACCCAGAAATTTTCACTACTTTAAGCAGAACAATTTTCGAGAAACTGCAACCAGTGTTGTAATTTATAAAACAAGCTTGAATGTAGAAATGTTTCGTATTTTCTGGTGAACATTTTATCAGAAAATGGTAAAAATGTTTCGTGCAATCTAAAAACGCGTGGTTTGAGTTTCCACTTCGCTGTCTATCGTGAATTCTCGAACACAGAGTTTCGTAAAATTCTATACGGGGTGTACCAAAAGTCGCGTTATAAATAGATATGTTGAATAAGCTTGTCTCGTCGCGTCGGTATTAACTTGTCTGCTGTATATAGAGATAATATGTGGAAGGAAAAAGAGAACTGCTTTACCTGCCGGTAACATTTAGATAATTGTTTTCTTTTACGTATTTCACATTTCATTGTTCCAAATTCGTAACATTTTTTATGTGATTTTGTAATCCAAACTTTTAATTATTATTAATTTCTTTTAATTTACATTCCAATAAATTTTATAGTTTATCATAATATTTACCGATGACAATAAATGTACATATATATTAATTTCTCAAAATTTTAATTAATTCTAATTTTTATTAGTTTTAACTGTTATTACTTCAAATTTTAGACAATTTAATATTAAAATTTTTTTGCAATTTATTTATAATTTAAAATTAAGAATAAAATTATTTTTTAAAAATTGAAAAATTTTATAGAGATTTTATAACCAATTATAATTAAAAAATGTTATTTTAAAAACTATAAAATATTTTGTATAACTTTTAAAAAAATGATTTTTTTAAAAATTAATATTCAGTATATTGACATTTCTCACAAGCGCAGTTTTAATCTTAGGCCAGTCGGTGAGTGCAAAAAGTGCACAAAAGTGCAACTGGAAAAGTCTCAATAGTTTCTTGTAGTTTGGGGGCCCCATATAAGAGCCCCATGGTTTGCTCTCGATTTCCGGTTGCAAAAAATAGTGTAAACAATCGTCAAAGTTCGAGAAACGTAGTTTTTCGATGACCCTTGCTTCCGGTTAAATTTTAGAGGAAAAAGTTGTTATTGAAAGTTGTAGAGCCTAAAAATACCTTTCAAATGATTGGTCATACGTTGAAAAAGGTTAATTAGTTTAGTTGCAAATGAATTTAAACCATTAAAAATAGCACTTTTTTAATTGTTTAATAACTTTGTTAATAATTATTGAATTTGTTTACAACTCACCAGGAATATTCTCCTTGCGAAGCTGAATAAATTAAAAAAAAAGTCAACTCGATCGGACAAATAGTTTATGTTTTATTCCATTTGTTAACTAAAAACATGAAATTTTTCAACAGAATTTCCCCACTTTTGGACCTGCGAATTTCGTTTTTTTTTCTTCGAGAGTACAGTTTAGGAGTCAAACTTTGATTCCATTTAAATGGGAAATTGATTTTTCTTATCTAAGTGCATAATAATAGACGTTAAAAAAGGGTATGTTTTTTTGACATAAACAAATGGAATAACTCAGTCAATTTTCACTTTATCGATTTTGTGTAAAGGGATTTAAATTTCATTCGTTTTCACAAAACTTTTCCAAAAAAAAATCCGACCTAGCTTCAAGGAGGGGGGAGTTAGTTTATTTTTTTCAAAAAATTCCTGACTAGTTAATTATCAATATTTTTAATTGCAATTCATACCACTTATAGTTCAATGTATGTATTTTATGAAAAAAAATTGGACATAAGGTTTTGTGCATTTATTTTTAATTTATATCAAGTAAAAGTAAATGTATCCATTTTTCAACCTCTGAACGGCGGAGTGGGGGTACTCGGAGGAGCGTGATTCTCGCCGCCACAACTGAATTTAGCTGTTCAAATTTGCAAAAATGGTCATAACTTCGTTAATTATTTACCGATTTTTATCTTTCTTTTTTTAATTTGATGTATTTTTTTACGCTGAATCCAAAAATAATTTTATATGTTTTCAAAATACAATATTTTTAATAATAAGAAAGAAAAAATTTTTAACAACAAATTTTTAATTATTATTTATCATATTTGACAAAAAATTCTTTTCGTACATATAATTCCATTGAATTTAAAATAATATTATGACATAAAAAAATTAAAATTAATTATATATAAGTGTGTAGGCATCAGGTTCACATATGCACACCTGTTCAACTATCAATACAACGATGCTACACACTTATATATAATTAATTTTAATTTTTTTATGTCATAATATTATTTTAAATTCAATGGAATTATATGTACGAAAAGAATTTTTTGTCAAATATGATAAATAATAATTAAAAATTTGTTGTTAAAAATTTTTTCTTTCTTATTATTAAAAATATTGTATTTTGAAAACATATAAAATTATTTTTGGATTCAGCGTAAAAAAATACATCAAATTAAAAAAAGAAAGATAAAAATCGGTAAATAATTAACGAAGTTATGACCATTTTTGCAAATTTGAACAGCTAAATTCAGTTGTGGCGGCGAGAATCACGCTCCTCCGAGTACCCCCACTCCGCCGTTCAGAGGTTGAAAAATGGATACATTTACTTTTACTTGATATAAATTAAAAATAAATGCACAAAACCTTATGTCCAATTTTTTTTCATAAAATACATACATTGAACTATAAGTGGTATGAATTGCAATTAAAAATATTGATAATTAACTAGTCAGGAATTTTTTGAAAAAAATAAACTAACTCCCCCCTCCTTGAAGCTAGGTCGGATTTTTTTTTGGAAAAGTTTTGTGAAAACGAATGAAATTTAAATCCCTTTACACCAAATCGATAAAGTGAAAATTGACTGAGTTATTCCATTTGTTTATGTCAAAAAAACATACCCTTTTTTAACGTCTATTATTATGCACTTAGATAAAAAAAATCAATTTCCCATTTAAATGGAATCAAAGTTTGACTCCTAAACTGTACTCTCGAAGAAAAAAAAACGAAATTCGCAGGTCCAAAAGTGGGGAAATTCTGTTGAAAAATTTCATGTTTTTAGTTAACAAATGGAATAAAACATAAACTATTTGTCCGATCGAGTTGACTTTTTTTTTAATTTATTCAGCTTCGGAAGGAGAATATTCCTGGTGAGTTGTAAACAAATTCAATAATTATTAACAAAGTTATTAAACAATTAAAAAAGTGCTATTTTTAATGGTTTAAATTCATTTGCAACTAAACTAATTAACCTTTTTCAACGTATGACCAATCATTTGAAAGGTATTTTTAGGCTCTACAACTTTCAATAACAACTTTTTCCTCTAAAATTTAACCGGAAGCAAGGGTCATCGAAAAACTACGTTTCTCGAACTTTGACGATTGTTTACACTATTTTTTGCAACCGGAAATCGAGAGCAAACCATGGGGCTCTTATATGGGGCCCCCAAACTACAAGAAACTATTGAGACTTTTCCAGTTGCACTTTTGTGCACTTTTTGCACTCACCGACTGGCCTATCTCCTCAGTTAGTATATAAAGAAACTCAATTCTTTCATCTACAAGTGCGAGTTATATTGTATGTGCGTTGCGTCAGAATTCGTTTATATGTATGCGTATTTCCGTTAAGTTAGTGTCAGAATAAAATAAGCCAATCCAAGCGAACCATTGCGTTGTAGAGGGCAGTCACATGTGTCGAACCAATCATCTATATCCTATAGAAGACGAGAAAAAATGGTCTTGAGAGCTCATTGGTACATTAAGAAATTCTTTTTTCTGCTTTATTCGTTTTTTTCTCCGTGAATATTTTTTTCCGTGGCGCATGCGCTTCTGGCTAAACATTTTACAAAACTCTTGAATTAGAACGTCCAACCGATCATTTGTGAATTCCATAGAATTTTTTTTGAGTTTTCGAGAAACGCAGTCATCATATATTACTATTGATTCTGTTTTATCTTATACTAAACTCCTCTCCGTATCCGCTATTCCAAAATTAGTTTCGTAAAATGTACTAAATTAATTTTTTCCGTGTAGCGCCACTACAGCGCAATGGCACGCAAGAGTGGCACCATGCTAGCGCCACCAAATTTTTCTACTAGGGGACTTTTGGGGCTAGTACTCAACAGGACGGGGGCGAATGATCTCCTGAAACTCGATAAGATCTGAGTTAGAACCGTAATTGAAAACCTTGGAAAATCCGTTGCCCACTTGAGGAATTCTTACCCAACTAACATTGGATTCGTAAACAGCGACCCCGAAAACCCCCGAGTAACAAATTTTAGGCGAATTTGGCAAATTTTTAAATTGTTTCGTTTTTTTTGGGTAGTTTTCATTTATTTTTTTTACCCTGAGGTAAAATTTGGTTATTAATTTTCTTTACAAGGTTTATAATATTTCGGTACTAACTTTTGGTATCGAATCGACATAGATCCGTTTATTAACGTCCGTAAACTCTGCCTAAGTAATTGAAGCCGGATGTTTCTGTATATGAACTTCTACTTTTGCAAAAACAGGGAATCTTAAAAGTGGGCCAAAAGTTTCTCAAGAAACTTTAAAAAGTGTTTTAAAATAAAAATTTTTTTCGTATTTCAGACACCAAAAATGTCTTGATGTAAGACCCTTTTTTGTAATTTATTAATATACTATAAATATGTTGAAAAAAGGAATTATTTTAACAAAGATAAAAAATTACAAACCCCAAAGTTTTACCCCGGAGGACTTCTGCTTGGGACGAGAGGACTTCTGCTATCATATCGTCATTGAAGAAGTCATTCGTACATCGCCATCTTCTTCCATAAGTGAGCTCTAATTGTTTAGCCTGAGGCCAAAGTTCTTGAGAACGCTTTCTCCCTTGTTTGTGCTGTGAATAAATTACCAGAATTATTATATAATTTACTTCTAATGAAATCTTAAGTTTTATAATTAAAAATTATTTTTAACAAATTCTTTCAGTATATCAACATGCAATTTTCATCTTAAAAGACGTTTAGACGAAGAAAAATATAAAGTAACTTTTACTACTTTCGGAATAAATTTTGCTAGGTTCGAAGTAAATTTTACTATGTTCAAAGAACATATTTGTAAAAAATGAGTAAATTTTACTATGTTTAAAGAACATATTTGTAAAAAATGAGTAAAATTTACTTCGAACGTAGCAAAATTTACTCCAAAAGTAGTAAAAGTTACCAGAAATGTTTTACTATAGAAGTAATAAAAGTTTCTTTATATTTTTCTCTGTGTATACTTATTGAAGATCAATCATCTAACAAACTTAAAATATTTGAAAAAACCTCTCTGGCAGATTGTAAAAACCAAGTAGTAATCGGTTTTGGTTAGAAGTGAAAAATTTTGAAGAAGACGACTTAAAAAGTTAAAAACAATTATTGAAATAAATAAAGTAACAATTCAATTATTGATTTACACAATATTAGATATAGATACTGAAATTTCTATTGGTCTTTTTATTAACGGTTAAGATATTTGTTTATTCAATTTGATTAAACTAATTTTTACATGTTTCGACTTTTAAGTAAAGTCCTTATCAGTCAATTTTTAAAAATAAAGTAACATTAGTTTTAACCAAGAAGGCTAGAGACAGGGGGTAAAACTTCGGTAATGGGGGTGAGTCATAAATCTGTCTTTAACGCAGGAGTTTCGTTTCGAAAAGTGGAAAGCTGCAGCAGACTTCTGTGCACCACTAGCAAATCCAAATTCTTCTATTACCGTATGTATAGAATATATTTTCCCGTGTTTACATGTGTTAGATGTGCAGAAGTCCATTACAACGTAGATCTTTTTAAAAGGAAACGCCTGACGAAAGCGAAAGGCCAGCTGAAAGACTCATTGTCAGCATTGACTTACCCCCACTACCGAAGTTTTATCTCCTGTCTCTAGCCTTCTTGATTTTAACGAACGTAAGTAAAGAGAACATCATGTATCATTATTAATGTGACTAAACACATGATGTTTTATAAGCATGTATTTGTTTAAACTTATGTTACTTTATTTTTAAAAATTACTTGATGAGGAGTTATCCTGAAAGCCGAAACATGTAGAAATTCGATTAATTAAATTAAATAAACAAATATCTTAACAGTTAATAAAAAAGAACTCTTAAAGTTTTATTATCATTGATAAAAATAACGGCTCCAAAAAACAAATTAATATTAGATGTAAATTAAAATTCTATTATTAAATTACTAGCTTTCTAGTAGTGCACGCCTGATAATATTTTTGAATGTCAGATTACATTTCGTGTACATTTGATGTTTGGTATTTTGCTAATATCAAAGAAACCATTAATTTTTACCGTTTTATTAATTGATTCTGTTTTAAATTTGATTTCTACAATCAAAAAAATTGAAGACTTTAAAAAATACAACTACAACTTCATTAAGGAATTAAACAATTAACATAACAGGAAATTAAAAAATTGTTTTTAATCAAAAATTAGGTTTTGGTTGAAAAATTAGGACTTATTGTTTATTTAAATTTTTTATTGTGAGAATAGTCTGTATTTAACTCAAAAAGTTAGCTACCGATACTTCAGATCAATATTTTAAAATCAGATATGGCTAAGATTTTAAGTTAGACTAATAAATAAAAGAGTATCAAGTTTCACTTAAATCGGTTAAGCCGTTTTCAAGTGATGTTGGAACAAAATTTAGCGGACACTTAAATTAGTAAATTGGTAACATTTTGTAAAATAACTTTTGGAATAGATAAATGAACATTTGTAGAACAAATTTCTGCACTATTTAAAATGAATTAATACACATTACTTTGTTATTAACATTTAAAGTGAGCGATGTCTGGTGACATAGCGACAAACGTGTGTGAATGTATATGTAAGAGTGTGACATGTGCTAAATATAACACTGTTGTAGGAATTATATTTAAATATTATATTGCATGAAGAGTAGCTACGCGCCTGGAACCAGTTTTGATAGAATGATGATCGACAGACTTCAGTGAATAAATTCGCTTTTCGACGAAAAGTATTCTGAGAATCGGTCGAGTTGGAGAAATATTTTCCTTTTAGGATGTTTAAATCTTTGCTGAAGCGCGGTTGTAAAATGACAAATAAGAAAGTAATGTAATGCCAACCGCATGTCAACTAGGCTATTGCGCTCACTCTATATCTAAATATTTCTGCACTCTTTTGGCGTCAGGCTGTAATGCACCTCTTTCAGCTTGTGATTACATTATTTTCCAGATTTCATTTTACAAGCGAATTTGTGCATGGATTTAAATAATCTTTTTGATTAGTGTACCTTAATAGCATTCGCATATTCAGGATATCCTAAGGACATTCGGAAAATATTATTTCCGTGCAATATCCCAGGGATGTTCTGGAATATCATTAGGACACCATAAAGATATCTTAATTTCTGATTATGACTAGGATGTGCAAAGAATATCTTGTAATATCCATTTCCGATAGAGGAAATTTAAAATATTCTTACCCATTGTACATTGACAGATTTTGTAAAAAGTGTCTGTGTTAGAAGAAAGTTGGAAAATGTTTGTTCACCTGTTTCATGTCATTTAGATCAATCAGCGCCGTTTCTTTTGGGATATAATCGGAGGTCTAACTGTTAATATATCAAAATAGACGGATGAATTTAAAAAAAAAATTTTATGTAAATTAATTAACTCTATGCTTTTGGACATTTTCTGTTTGCGTAAAACTTACTTATATTTACATTTTAGAATAAGGTAAAAGTTCATTGAGTCATTTTCCGAAAAGTGAAGGGGTTCAATAGAATCAATGGTTCAATCAAAGCCACTCTCCTTTACTGTTTGTTAAGTCCTAAACAGGTAAAGCGTTTCATTTCACATATTTCTCAACTTAAAACTTACTAGCGATATTTTCCTCGCTCGCTAACGCTCGCTCGGTTTATATTTTATTTATTTATTTTTATTTGTTTTTATTAATTATTTTTTTCTAATTATAATAATTTATTTTTTTATGTTTATTTACAAATATTTTTATTTCAGGTACAATTTTTAATTTTCCTATGAATCTAATTTGTTTCTGAGTTGGCACAAAACTATTAAATTAACAAACTGAGTTTATTTACGAGTTGAACTGAAACTAAATTCAGATAGATAGTTTCATGTGGACTGGAAACTAAACAAAAAAAATTAGATTATTTAACACTTGAATTAATTTTAGTACATATAAAAAAATATCTGAGAAACTCAATTATCTAGTTCTAATTAAAAAATCACAGCTTACAATAAAATATTTAAAGAAATACACTGAAGTCTTAGTTATACGGACAACTCGGGTGTGTGTCCGTATAATCCAAATAGGTCACCTTGACGAAAAAGTATAAATATGCAGGACAGTACGAAGATTCTTTTTGCCCTCGGTTGAAATAGAATCGCCTGCTAATTTTTTTTTATACCTTTGAAATTTATTAATATAGTGTAAAATTGATAATTTGAATTTATTAAATTACATTTGTAGACAAATAAATAAATAAATTAATATTGTCTGATAGCTCACTAACAACTTTGAGGTTAGGTTATATCAAGGGGAAAAAAAGAATCCAGTGATAGGTGCGCTACTGACATCATCGAGTCAAGCACGACCCTTCCCTTCACCCCTCATCCCGTTTCAGCGCCATCACATTCCGTATAACCAATTTCCGTATAACCAAGACTTCAGTGTAATAGAATTATAATTATTATAATTATAAATTGGCTGTTTTTTAAAACAAAAAACGATAATTTTCTTAAAAATTAGCGTACAATAATTTTTAAAAAAGTGTTTGAAAGGTGACAAAATAAGCTCTTAATTGCAATAAATGAAATTTATGTGTGATCACTTGTTAAAAAACTATATTTGTTTAAAATTTATCACTAAAAAGTGAAATATTTTGTTTATTGGTAATTGCATTTAAACAATAATTAAGAATTAATTAATTAATGTAACATTGATAGAACACTACTGCGCATGCGTAACTTTGATAGAACACTACTGCGCAGGCGTGACATTGATAGAACACTACTGCGCATGCGTGACATTGATAGAACACTACTGCGCATGCGTGACATTGATAGAACACTACTGCGCATGCGTGATATTGACAGAACACTACTGCGCATGCGTGACATTGAAAGAACACTACTGCGCATGCGTGACATAATTATGTCATAATACATAACACATAATTAATTGACAGAAAACTACTGCGCATGCCAAATATTAATAGAGCACTACTGCGCATGCGTAACATTCACAGAACACTACTGCGCATGCGTGACATTGACAGAACACTACTGCGCATGCCTAATATTAATAGAGCACTACTGCGCATGCGTAACATTCACAGAACACTACTGCGCATGCGTAACATTCACAGAACACTACTGCGCATGCGTGACATTGACAGAACACTACTGCGCATGCCTAATATTAATAGAGCACTACTGCGCATGCGTAACATTCACAGAACACTACTGCGCATGCCTAATGTTGATAGAGCACTACTGCGCATGCCTAATGTTGATAGAGCACTACTGCGCATTTTATTTTATTTTGCATTTTACTTTTTAAATTAAGATAAGCCAGGTTTTTCGTCAGACTACCGTCTCACATTAGGTACACTTATTATTTGCATGTTCCTATTATGCGAAACACACAGGAAATAAATAATAAATAAATAATATATAGTATATATATAATATATATATATATATATATATATATATATATATTACTTATTATTAAATATAATAATCAATAATTCATTCATTCTGTTTGTCCACATCTGAAGTTTGACTTTTGAAAAAAAGAAAACAAAACCATACGGTTTTGTTTTCTTTCTTTAGAAAATATTGTTTGACAAA